GATGCAGAGCCCATGCAGAGAATACGGAGGGCTGACTATAATACATTTTTTAAAGGTAGGGGTAGATTTTCATCAAATGTCAAATGTAGCAGATGTCAATTTCCAAAAATTAGTTAACAATATTGCTGGGCAGATATTGTCTTTCAGAACTTTTGTCACTTCATTAGGGGGTGTGTTTTATATCCTCTCACTTGGAAAGACCTGTTTAACTGCCTCTGCTGATAGAGTATGAATGGCAAAATACTCCAACTTGTGAGACTAGGTCATAAAAAGTGAGAGTTTTCATCACCATTGAAACTCAGCTACCATGATCCCAGCTAACAGCCAGCACAAACTTGCAAGCCCTGTGAAGGCACCACCTTGGATGCAAACCCTCCAGCTCTCAGCAATCACCACAGCTGATGCCAAGGAGAGAATAGGTGAGCCTTCTCCAGGAAGCTCTATACAAATCTTGTAATAATCAATTATCAGGGTTTGTTTTAAGCTGCAAAGTTTTGAAGACTACAAGCAATAGGCAACCAGTAAAGACCCAGTATGGTCCAGGTGACTAATTTATCTTTGTATGCTTGAGTACCAGTGAGGATCCAATCATGAGATAGATAAAATAATTTAAACAGGGAAAGTTCAAAGAGTTATCCATTGTAATGGAATTAGACTAAAAGGATTAACAACTAAGAGGTAACTAGGGAAGACTGAACTCTTAGGAATTGTGAATATAGGAAATCGCCAATTCCCAGGGAAAGGGGAGGGAGGGAGCCAGAAAGGGAGGGAGGGAGGGAGGGAGAGTAAGAGAGAGAGAGAGAGAGAGAGAGAGAGAGAGAGAGAGAGAAAACATGTACAGCTGTGGCCTGCTGGATTGTGGGAAGTTTATTTCTGGGATGCCACACTGCCAAGACTAGCTAGAAATCTGGCTTCTGGAGAGCAATGACTGTCTTTTCACAGGAGTTGGATAAAGAAAAGCATCTGAGAAAAATGAGTCAAACCAATAGCTGTTTCTTCAAAATTAATAAGTAGAATTAATAACTTTCTATGAAGACTGGTCAAAAAATACATGGCAAAGCCACAATTTACCAATATTAGGAATGAAACGGGGGATATTACCATAGATTCTCAGGATGTTACAAGGATAGAGAACATTGCAAAAAAAAATCACATCATTCCATAATTTATATGGAATAATGCCTCCTTACAAGCTATGAAAATTTACTGAATAGATAATCTGAATAGTCCTGCATGTATTGAAGAAACTGGACTTGTATTTAAAAGTTTCCTATTAAGAAAACTTCATGGTTTCACTGGCAATTCTCCCAACATGTAAGTTAGAAATAACACAATTCTGCACATTCTTTTCCAGAAAATTCAAGTATTCATTCCTCTTCTCACTCCATTTTATGAAGTTGTACTTATCCTGATATCAAAACTAGACAAAAAACATTACAAGACTATAGACCAATTTACATTCATGCAAAGTTTGTAGTTTATTCTAAAGTTAAATATAAACCAACCATATGACCCAGAATTCTACTCTTAGTATTTCCCCAAGAAAAGTGCAAACCTATTTCACATACAAGACTGTACATGAATAGCAGCTTTGTAATTGCCCCAAACTGGAAAAAAAAAACCTTGTTTAATATTGCCTGACGGATGGTAAGTTCCCTTTCCACAGAAAAGGAAACGAAAATCATGTGTAGATGGTTTTAATTATGACCTTCAACTTGCTTATGGCTTATTGTATGTATATCCCTTTGCTTTATAACATTGTCACTTGTTGATTTGGGGTTTGGCCTGTGATTTGCTTTGGCCAACAAGAACAACAGCAAATATGACACTGCGTTATGTAAAAAACGTTCGTGTATTGGGATTTTTGATGTAGTTGAGAACACTCTATCACCATGCGAAGAAGCCTATTATAGGTAATGGGAGAGAGAGAGATCCTATAGCCAACATGGAGGCATCTCAGTTGAGTGGAATCTAGTTAAGTCTCAGCTGAGCTGACCCTTAATCCTCAGTCAACCCAGATTCTTTTTTTTTTTTTAATACTTTTTTTAGTTGTAGATGGACACAGTATCTTTATTTATTTATTTTTATGTGGTGCTGAGGATTGAATCCAGGACCTCACACATGCAACACAGGCGCTCTACCACTGAGCTACAGCCTCAGCCCAACTATAGATTCTTAATATGTTTGCCTTGTCAAGCGACTGCACTTTGAGGTGTTTGTTAAACAGCAAGTGCTAATAGACACAGTTAATATTAAGTCCATTTAAGTCTCTGATCTGGTGAACCCCAAAGCAAATTCCTTGGGTCTCCTTCCTTCCAAAGAAGTGGTTCCCAACCTTGGCTGCACAATAGAATTACCTGGGAAGCATTAAAAAATATCAATGCCTTCTTTGTATACTCTGGATATTAGGGCTCTTTCTGAAGTGTGAGGAGTAAAAATTTGTTCCCATGATGTAGGCTCCCTATTTACCTCTCTTATTGTTTCT